TGGCCAGCTAAAGTACTGGCCTGGACGTGGAAAGGAGCGGCTCATTTGTGACATCTCATTTCCACTGACTTACAGACTTAGTTGTAAGTTTACTAGCTGTTGGAGCCATTAAATGAAAAATATTGCTGCTCTCTTTGTTACCATCTTGATAGGTTCCAGCAACACGCTGGTTAAGGGCTGAACAACTTTAAAACTGTCCAGGGGTTCTAAGAATATTAGGGAGGGGTGAGCATGGTTAAGTTGGGTTAGGCTGTAGAGTTTTTGCAATTTTATCTTTAATCTAAAATTGCACTGCTAACAATTTGAGAATTTGCTAAGAGTGAAATACTTTTTAAAATCAGTCCTTTAAAATTTACAAGAAAAATAAGTTTTTTATAGTTGTAGTAAATATTAATTATTAATTTAATGTTTTTAAATTAATATTAAATTTGCAATATTTTAAAATTAAACCTTTTACTTAGCTAGGCTTACTCAATTAGTGCTAGGTTATATTTTGCTGTCTTCAAACTTTGGATAGAGAAATAACTTAAAAATATACATTCTGTTTAGATACATAATTAGAGTGCTACCTATCTTTTCCTTTACTGTTTGATCAGAAAACCTAATCATCTCAATTCAAATGAGAGTCTTTAACATGGCATAGACACTGTGGGTGTTGTGGAATCTATAAGAAGGAGCAATGCTGTTGGTATATTACATGTTTTTGTTCTAAAAATAATTTTGGGAGTCACAAACACCCCCACAAATTTAACACTTTTGTTACTCTGACTAATGAAAAAATAAATTTTTTTTAATTTAAGTTTTTGAGGAATTTTATAGGTGTTTTTAATTTTGCCTGAAATAACTCATATCCATCTTGTGAAATATTCAGAGGATTTTTAAAAATTTTTATTTTTAATTTTGAAATAATTATCGATTAATAGGAAGTTATAAAAAAGAGTATCCAGGTAGGTCCCTTCATTCTGTCCCAGTAGTAATATCTTGTATAACTATAGTACAGTATCAGAGCAGAAAATTGACATCCGTACTGTCCACAGAGCTTACTCAGATTTCATCAGTTTTATGTTGCTCACATACTTTAAAAACACACACAATTACATATGGAAAAAATGTGATTCCATTTGTAATTCTCAATAGTGCTACTGACATCATCATAAAGGACATTTAGTTAATATTTTATCTATTAAATAAACAAGGGAATCATATACTATTTCAGTTCTGCCTCATCTAATTGCTTACCTCTGGAGATTGGGACACAGGAGCGCTGTACTCCCTCCAGGACTGCACCTGGGCACATCTGAAGAGGGTTGGGCACCCAGGTCCGGACATGGTGCTAGAAGTAGCGGGGACCCACATGCTCCATCTAACATTGCTGGGGACAGGGTAGGAGCCTGTTTCTGTCCTGGTTGCAGATCTGGTTTCTGTGATGCATTGGCTGGCTTCTTATTGTTTTGTGAACTAAGGCAACATCAGATGAAATGAATAGAGAATTATATTTTCTGAGTTTAATATTTGCAGTAATGTTTTTCATATGATCCCAAGAAGGCTTTTCATGTGCGATCTTTCAGGAATATATTTCCTTGGTCAGATTATTCTACATTTTATTGCTCTTGTCCTTGTGTTACTCCAAGTAATATTTAATTTTTTCAGTTAAATATGATATACACAGTAAAGTCAAGTCTAAGATCTGTAAATTGATTTTGTAAGGAGGAGACTATCTAATACATTTTATTCTATTAAAAATTGTAAGAGTGGGGAAGAAACAGATGTGGAATATAGACCAGACACCAGGTGACTCTGAATAAAGTGTTTCTTCTACAGACAGTAACTCAGAGCAGTTTCGAACAGTTGTGTATAGCCAGGAATTACAGTCCAGTGGGAAGACCATCCTTTAAGACAGAACTGGAGCTTTTATTCCCTTTATTTGCCTTTGTTGTCATCCTCTTTTCCATAAAGCATATGCGCCTGGGAATAAAGATCCAGCAGTGAAATTGAGAATGAATGGAGAGGAGGTATAGAATTACACGTGGAAAGAATCGGGTAATAGAACACTCCGCTAATGGATTACAGTCCCTTTAAAAGGAACACTTTCCTGAAGATAAGACTGTTTTGTTCCCGTGTCTTTGACCCCCTATCTAATTAGTTAGCAAAACCTTTTGATGCTAAGTTTGTGCCACCTCCCACGTTCCTTCCTTTCTAAGCTCTGGGTCATTAGAAAATGCATTTTGGCTTTTTTACGTGCCAAGTAAGTTAGAGTTGCTTGGGTTGTTCCATCTGACTGTAATTCACTGTCCCAGCTTATCCTTATAGTTCAGTCTACTCATTCTTCAGGGGAGCTTCAGCTCAGGCCCGTGCCCTCCCTGAAACCTCTCCATACTCGAGCTGCAGGTGCTTTCTCTCCTCTGAACCGTGACCCTTATAGCCTTGTGGTCCACTTGACATTGGACATGTCTTGTCCTCCTCTCTGAACTGTGGCCCTTATGGCCGTGTGGTCCATTTGATATTGGACATCCCTTGTCTTCAAACATTGTCAAAATATTATTGTAAAATTCAATTACTACACCTTTGCCTTTTCAAATAGGTAGTTCCTTTTAAATTCCCTATAGTCCTTAGCACAGTGTCCTGTACACGTGTTAAAGTACAGGAATAACACCACAGTACAGGCTTTATATATGTGTATGGTATGTATACGTATTTATATCTTCAGTATTTGATACTTGGGAGGGCTGTGTGTGAGTGGGACTGTAATATTCTAAATCCTTTTAATTGTATGAAACGAATGTGTTGTTCTGGTACTAACTTTATGAATAATTTGACTTTTAATTTTAACCTTGAAGGGAATATGTGATGCAGACTCTTAAAGGGTCTTAAAGGGACACCACAAGCTAGAGTCTTGAAGTGATGAATTTTTAAAATCTAATAGAAAAAAAACAGCCTGTCTCTTTTCACCTTGATTATTGATTACCGCCAGGCCTAAAAATAAACCATTAATTGTTTAAACTGATTCAATTGACATTGTCATCTATACATTAGAGAAATCATATTGTTCTGGCATTTATTTAGTGGATAGTGTACTTTCTTTGTCATTATTTTGATTCTTATAGCACATATTAGAGCAGATATTAAATTCATTTTGTCTGTCAGTAAACTTTGGGTCTACATTCATTTAGTAAAGCAACATTTTTTTAAAAAAGTGTCTGCTATATTTCAGACATGCACAATAATGAATAAGATATGG